GTGATCCAGGTGGACGTGATCCAGGAGCAGGCTTGGATGTTCGTCACTCAGCCTCCTCTCCGGCGTTCTTGGTGGATTTCTGTGTCTCTGCTGGATCCTGGTTCAGGTAAGTTTCCTTTCTTTACAGATCACCTCCTGCACTGTTCTTCTAATGTCCTGATGAAGGCATCTTGTGGGGATCATGTTTCATGTCTGGACACCAGCTCCATGTGAGGGACGTCCCTCTACAGCAGGTTTACAGTGAACCACATCTGCATCCGTCTGAAGATGTAGAGAAAAGCTGAGCATGAAATGTGTTTCAGTTTGCAGCTGAGGAGGAGACCAACCTGAGAGCTTTGGCCTGTTGAAGGAACTCTCCTCCATCCTGGTCAGTCTTCACCTGCTCACTCTTCTGAACTTTGCAGCCTTCTGCGATTCTGGTTCCTGAATCTGTTGTTGAAGTTAAATCAGGTCGGTGTCATTAAAATAACAAGTCATGACTTTTACAGTGCTGCAGCTGTAAGACTGATGCTGTCCTGATCCTGCAGCTTCACCACGGCTCCACTTTTCCTCCAAAAGATGCAGGAAGTGTCCAGAAACATTTTCATTCTAAGGACACAAATAAAATGTTTTCTGACAGAAGATGCGGCTAAATTATAGAATGTACAGGTTGTAATGATGGACATTCAAGCCTTTTTTAACGTCTAATTTCTACTCTAAGCAGCCCGATGCAGGATTACAACCCTGTAGATGTTTCACATCATTTTTATGAATTGAACTCAATCAATCAAACCACAGCAGCTGCTGCATGTTTATTATTGTCTTTATAAAATGTGTGTATTTAAAAGTCCTCCTGATGTTTGGCATCACATGCAGTCAATCATGTTTTCATCCTAAATACGTCACACGTTTTAGATTTCCAGAAGTATGTGTTTTATTTCTTTGTACTTGGTGTCAGTAAAACATCAGGACTGGACGGGTTCGGAGTGAGTAAAGAGCTCCTGAATGCAGCACATGATCTTCACTCACTGTCTGGAACCAGAGCTTCAAGCTTCAGATGCAGAACAACTTGTTCTATCAGAATCAGTTGTCAACAGCCGGTTCTGTACGGTACGGTTCTGCTCTGGGTGCTGCAGGCTTCAGCATCTCAGAGGCCTGTCGGTGGAAACCATGAATGCGTTCAT